CCCTCCCTCCCCCCCTTCCACTCTCTCTAAAAATCAATGAAAAAAATGGGTGAGGATTAACAAAAATAAAAATTAAAAAAATTAGATCTTAATGCTTCAGTCTTTGGCTGTTGCTCTACAAGCATTATCAGGGATTTGAGGCCTCCCCTAGATGATGCCTAACTAGTCCAGCTCCTTCACTTCAGAGACCTGGGAACCGAGGCCCAGAGAATTTTACAGGTGCCCTGGCTCAGTGCTTCTCAAACTGTCTGTGCTAGAGAAGCAGTTTTTATCCTACCTAATGCATGACAGGCCCATCATTTTGTGAACTATAATAAAAATGAAGTACTGGAAAAAGTAATTTTAAAATGACATATATAGTTCTAAGTGCTTCCTTTTAATTTCTGTGTTTATCTCAATGTAGATGGATTACAAAGAGTTCTGGGACTAGAACAGTCCATAGACTTCACTTTGTATATCACTGCCCAAGGTCCGGGTTCACAAACTAGGATCCATGGGCAAATCCGACTTGTTTTTTTGTATATCCGGCAAGCTAAGAATTACTTTTACATTTTTAAGTGATTTTTTAAAATTTACAATGTTTTGTGACATATGAAAATTATACAAAATTCATATTTTAATGTGTTCAAATAAAATTTTATTGGACCACAGCCACACATTCTTTTAAATATTGTCAGTGGCTGCTTTTCCCCCTGTGAGGTTGGGGCTGAGGCAGGGATGAGTAGTTGAGAATGAGCTCATATGGTCTACAATGCCTAATATATCTAGTCTTGCCCTTTTAAGGAAAACGTGAAGTTCTGAAGATCTGGCTTTAGGACCTAACTTGTAGTTAGTGGTAGAGTTGAGAGTACAAACAGGGTCTACATTTTTAAAAATGAGTTTTAAATATTATCATTACCCGATATGTATTATGCCACTTTTGTTCTCATTTAATCCTTTCAGTAATCCCTTTTTATAGAAATTAGATGAGTTTAGAGCCCTCTGATCTAGTTTAGATACCTTTTTTGCTCTTAAAACTCTTAACTGTGTTTTTTAAAAAAATTCATATCTGGTGAATTACAAATGGGTAAATATTTTCTAATGCGGATTTTGTTATCAGCATCTGGTTTAGAAAATTCAGCCATTTCTACCCTATTGCCACATTGCTCTGCAGTGGATGTTTGTGTGTGTTCAGGTCCAATGCAAGAATTAGGTATGACTCAGAAATGCTTAGAAAACAGATTATTTCTAGTAAAAAGATTGTTCCTTTAAATATCACCTAAAGTAAAGCAACAATGCAGCTAAACTTTAATGGCAGATTTCTGTTGCATAATAGCAAAGATATAAAGGTGAAGTACAGCTTACACCAAAAAAGATTGTTTTAAGTGACTTTTGGAGGAACAACAGGCTTTTAGTGTTTTGCCTCTACCACTCATTAAGCTGCGAAATAAAAGTTCCCATCATATTATTGTCAAGCCTTGTTAAATTAACATACTGCTTTATCTCTTGATGTGTGTAATAAAAAACTCTGCTTTTCAAGGTTGCTGTTAATTCTGTTTTTCTACCTTTGTATGTGATCACTCAGTAGTATATTGCTATAAAGATACAGCCATAGCTGCCAGCTTTACATTTGATTCCTGAGTTGCTTCATGATAAGGACCCTTTAAAAGCCAGATCTTCACATTGGGATTTCTTCCTGGAATAAAAAAAAGATTGCCGTGAAAGCTTATTCATTATGATGAAAGTAGCTACAGTTTGATATTGTGGTATTTGCTATTTTATTCTACTTACTCTTGACTCTCTAAACAATAATTATGTTCTTGCTTAGTTAAGAATACAATAAATCAGAATAAAATACTACAGAAAGTTTTGGCAAAACCTCACTATGTCTTTTCAAGCCATGGCTAGTTCTTACTATCCCAAATCTGAGAGTGCCCAAGATTTAATGCAGGAAATGCTGATAAACACTGCTCCAGCAGCTGTGTCCTAATTCTAGATAGGGCTATTCCTATGTATGTTATAACAAAGGCATTGACTGGATGGCTTATGCATGAAAGAAAGAGGAAGAGCTTCATAAACAGCCGGACTTAATACTCAGTAATAGATGAGGATTGCCTGCACATATTCCAAGAGAATGTATGTACTTTAGCATGGAACTGTTAATGAATGAAAATTTGGGACTCATGAGCAGTAGTGCTCAGGTGTTTTAGACATTATATAACACATCTTTAAATACTTATTTAATTAAGTATTTCTGCTTCATTTTAAATTTATGCTATAGTATAGTGGTAAGTGATACAACTCCTGTTCTCTCCATCAGTACACAAAATCTTAACTATTTGAACAATTACTATAGCTTGTGATTGACCTGTGCTTATTTGGACTAGTTTTAATACATTTATTAGTTTAACCATTGGTTGGGTAGTGTTACAGCAACACCTGTCCTCTTCTCCCTATCCCCACATACCAGATGTAGTTGAGAAATGTTTTGGGTTAATAAATTATTATATCTGGATTTTACTTAAACATTGATTGTTTTGGGGGGCCCCACATCTAAGAATTCTCTATAGCTTCTTTCTACCCAACATAGCACATTCAATATTTATTCCTTAGCATATACTATAGTGCTTGAGTTTCTGTTTCTAAACATTTTGATGGAAAGCATTATTGGAGAAGGCAGTCCTTTTTTGCAGCTCGACTGCAGGGGACCAGAGTTGCATGCATTACTATGTCTGTGAAACTTCTTGGAAGCAAGCCAGTATGTTAGGGTGAGAGATTCATATGTAAGCGGTGAGCCACTAAAAGGCTTGCACAGTATTACAACTCTTCTGAGGAGAGGAAGTGTTAGGAAATTCAACAGCAAAGCAGCAGTAGCAACAAGCAGCCACAGTGGTAGTAAAGATAGGGCAGGCTCACAGTTAGCGTGTGCTCTGTGTGAGGCAGTGAGCACGCAGCTCCCCGTTCTGCTGCCTGAAGGAGGCAAACCCAAACTGTCTGTTGCAAGATTTTTCTGGTTTCATGTTTATGATGTTAAGTCATGTGATAATACTGTACCATAAGTTGCCAACTTTGCTTTACTCTAGAGAGGATCCTTTGCTGCAGTGCTTTTCCCCCTGTTCTTTCTTTTTCTTTCTTCTTTTTTTTTGAAAGAGAAAAAAAATTGTGCAATGTATGTGTATGCCTACACCATGCCGAGACGACACTTACCAGTAAATAATCTTTGTATCCCTGAGGTAAGATACTGTTTCTGCTTTCCCTGCACAGTGCTGCTGCAGCACGGAGCTGATCCAAACATTCGGAACACTGATGGGAAATCAGCCTTGGACCTGGCAGATCCTTCAGCAAAAGCTGTTCTTACAGGTAAGAAAACCGAGAGCTACCAGATTAGTTTATCTGTGGAACTACTGGCTTGATTTTAGAAAATCTTTATCCACTGAGTTTTATTTTTTTCTTCTGCTTAAGCTCAACAAAAATATATGCCGTTCTCTACTTCATTATTGATTTGATACATTAACAGTCTCATTAATTGCTATGCTTGCTCTTACAAACATTAAGCACTACGATTGTTTATTCTGGTTAGAATTTCTGAGAATTATAGCATTAAATGGCAACATGTATTATTCCCTTACATTTTAGTCATTTTTTATGGTTTAGGTCATAATTTTCTATACCTCATCTTCTAGTTGATTGTTTTGAAGACCTTCACTGTGGAGCAAGCAAGGGCATTTATATTACTTTATAAAAGTAGTTTTGATCGGAAAGGCAACCTGCTGCCGTATTACTTAGATCAATAGTTAAATAAAATAGGATGCTGCTCTTTCCTTGCCACCCTGATTATATTTTTATCAGGTCTTCTCACTTTACCATGTTACCTAACTACTTTTTAACTGAGGCAATGTCCTTTTTACTTTAATGAAAATGTGGGGCTTAAGTATTAGGTTTTATTAAGACAAATGTCAATAACCAACAAAGAGGAAATGATCTCTCATATAGTATAGAAAATAATGCTATAAGTAATATGGTATTGAGCAACTGTTTTCATTGATCTTCATTCTCAAAATGCTGCATTGGATCTATTTTTGTTTTTATTCTTAGCGTCTGAGTTTTGCTGCCTTTGCCTTCTTTTACTTAACTGACCTTTGTGATTTGGAGCCTCTTTGTCACTGCAGTACTAAGAGTATTGTTTTAAGTGCTTGTGTGCAAGTAAATGACTTTCAGCTTCCTTTAAATTTGCCCATGTTTGAAGAAAATAAATCTTTTGTTCACTTTTAAGTTTAGTGTCCATGCTGTGCATTTTTAACAAAGATTCTGAGGTGAATGGAAAACATTTATATACAGAAGGCTTTGAAAATATGTGAAATTCTGGTTAATTGCTCTGAATAGGAAGACAACTTCCCACTGTGTTAAAATTAATATAATCTCTGTTAAATTAGAGTAATGTGATTTTTCTCAATTAAAAGGTTAGGTGATTGGGATGCTGAATCAAGATAGCATACACTAGAGGAATAAAGCTATTTTAAACTAGTGTAGATAAGAAGAAATTTAAATATAATTATAAAATTTTAAATAATGAAATTAAGATACATAGCCTCAGGCCTGCTTAGACTTTGCAGCCTTTCGGTGTCTTCTTTTCACAAAGCCCTAGCAACAGTCACAGCCTTGGATTGGTCTCTGATGAAAGAAGAAATATGGTTCATAATCATAGAGGTAGATTATAAATGCTGACCAAGACTGTCTATATCTAAGTGTCCTCCCTCTGACCTTTCCTTCTTTTCAACCCTCAACACCTGCCTTGTCCATTTGTTAGATTCATTTAATGCAACACTGCTTTTAGATCCACCTACATTTTTCTAAAAGACAAAGTTTTAAATATAAGTTAATTAACAAGAAGAAGCTACCTCCTAATTTAGAATGGATTTTAGGGGAGGTCATATTGGCTGTTGCTAGTTTGGGAAAGAGCTGTGGCATAATAACTCATGGAGACTGAAGATTCCTGGAGAACAGATACCATACCTATGTGTTAGACTTAATTTGGAAAGCATCTAGCACTGTGCTTTGCTTAGATAAGGAAGATGTTACTTTTTCCTGGTTATAATACTGTTCATTATTCTTTTCAAGAATATTCACTTTTTTTGGAAATGACATACAACTTTTCAGTTATGATTTAAAAAAGCATTCTAGAACATTCTAGTAATAGTAATTAACTTTGTGGAAAATATAAGCCACTGATATTTGCACATTCGTGTTATGTAATGCAGTGAAATAACACTTAAGTGAAAGATATTTCCAAATGTTTTTCTGCCCATGCAGGTTCTCTTCTAAGCAATTCTTTGAAATTGTAATGGAAGTATTATTTCTGAAGCTAAGTTTAAAAGATTAAGCATTGATAAAAGGGAATCTTTTGAAAGGAATGACTTAGAGTTATTAGAGGTGATTCTGGGTGATGTGTCATTTTTTATTTTTATGGCAGATGCAGCTGTAGCACCCTTACTTACCTTGTGAAGTTTCTGTTCTTTATAGTTACATGAATATTCTTAAAGTATTATTTTGCAACATGAATTTATAATGAATTCATAATATCCTTCTATGGATATATTTTAGGTGATTTTTAGCAAATCCTCTAGTGTTTACCATTTAGGGAGGTTGTTTTCTTCCTCGTGAATTTGTCATTTTATCAGTTCCATGGGAGTTGTACTTCTTTACCACAGCCAATCTTAGCGTCCACAGACAGGGTCTATCTCTCGATTGCTGGCTGGCGTGTGTAGGATCTGGAGAACGAGGAGCTTTCCTTTTAGGGACTGCAGTCTCTGTATTATTCCGGGAGAGCCACGCTGAAGTTAAAGGTGGTTGACAAAGGGAATGCTTATGAAGGGGGTAAGGATGTAGAGGCATTTCCTAATCATGTGAGGGGGATTTCTGTGGGGCACAGCGGGAAGTTGGGTCAGGAGAACTAGTGACAAGAGATTGAGTCTGAGAGTTTGCAAAAGGATAGATGACCAAAGCAGAACCAGGGATGCGATGCCAGGGATGTAAAGTGGGTGAGTTTAGATGGTCACAAGGTTGCCGTGATAATTGGTTCCAGCACTTCCTAGTAGATTTGGGGGTACAGAAGTAGGGAAGAAAGGTATATTTGCACCAAGGTGTCTCAAGAATAAACTTAATCTGGATTCATTTCCTCTAAGGAAATCCTAATCTATGATTGATGGGCTGGCTCCCAGTCTTTCCAGAAAGAATCAGCTGTGGCTCAGGCTAGAGGCAGTGTTGAGGGATTAGGTATGTGCTTGCTGAGCCTCGTGTGTTAAATCAAGAAAATATATCTGGAATATTACCTCTTTTTTCCTTCTTCAGTGCTTCTTACTGCTTTTCAGGTAAAACCAAAGCCTTCAACATGATCAGTGAGGATTTAAGTGATTTGGACCCTGCCTATACAGGTTTGATTACTAGGTTTTGCTCAAGCCAAAGTGTAGGTTTCCTTTCTATTTCTTACACGTTGCATCTAACCTGCCAGTAATTTTGGCCTACCATACTTTCAGATCCCCAGCCCCACCATTTCTTACCAGCTTCACTGCTCCAGCCCATACACACCTTCATCATCGTTCTTTCATGACAGCAATAGCCTCATAATAGATCTCTGTGCCTCCACAGAGATCTCACTATAGTTCTCACTATAGCTGGAGTGGTCTATATAAAGCATAATCTACCCTATGATTAGAAAGCTCTTTAATATATTCTCATTACCCCTTAAAATCCAAACTCCTTAACCATAGCCTACTACGATCTGGCCCCTGCCTTACATATCTCTGATCTTGTCTTCTACTGTATTTGTCCTTGATCTCTTTGCTTCAGCTACAGCTGGATGGTTGCTGTTTCTCAAACAGATGAAGCCCTTTTCTATGTCTAGATTAACACAGGCTATTTACCAAAACTGGAATACTGCCCCAGAACTTAATGTGATTCATCAGTTAAATCTCCGCTCAAAGATTTATTCCTCAGAGAAGTCATCTTGTCCTCAATCCCGTTAGCTTACTTTATTTTCTTCATGGATTTATCGATATCCAAAATTGCACATTTTTTTATATTGTTGTTTGTTTACCCCAATAGGTTGAAAGCTTCACAAGGATTTGGACTTTTATGTGTCTTGCTTACTTCATTGTGCCCAGGACTTAGACAAGTACATAAAATGATTAAGTAAACAAATACATCTCGGGTCTGATTACTGTTAACAAGGCAGCATATTTTCCAAGTCCTATAAATACTCATTAGCCAGTAATTTTTTGACATCTCACATCATAAATTATAATAATCTATTAAATTTTCTACCTCCTAAAAATTGTTTTGAATTGCTGATGGTCATGTACACCTCTTAAAACAGCGTGTTAAAAATATTTTTTAATTGGTATGGTAGGCGAGGTATGTACTGAGCCTTTTATCAAAAGATTTCTTGGCTAGCTCCTTTGATTGAGAACATTTCAATTCTGGAAGGATCAAACTTCCTGCAGCTGTCACATCAGACTTCCTGATGTCAAACCAGGGCCTAATTTTTACTCTCTTGTCATTAATGAATTGTTTTGCGCTTGGCTATATTATAATGTAGCATATTGCATATCATGTATAGCATATTAGAGCTTCACTTATATAACCAAAATTGCTGTTTTCAATGGTTTTTTAAAAATTTCTTATTAACATTTGCTTTCTTAAAATAGCACATGTGATATTAGAATTCAGTAGTGCTTTGATATTATAAGGGTTAATAAACTCTATTCAAAATTTTTGTTACACTTTTGTTTTGCCATAGTTGTATATTTACATGCAGTTGTAAGACATAATTGAGAGAGGGTCCCCTGTACCCTCTGTATTATTTTCTCTTACTGGTAACATCTTGCAAAACTGTAGTATAGTATCACAACCAGGATATTGACATTGATATGGCCAAGATTAAAACTATTTTCATCAAGACAAATATTGTTCTGTAGTTTTCCCTACTTTATTTATTTGGATGTTATGGTAACACTAGCTTCATAGAATGAGTTAGGAAGTGACCCATCTTTTATTTTCTGGATTATTTTTTTCTTAAATGTTTTGTTCAATTCACCAGTGAAACCATCTGGGTCTGGCACTTTCTTTTTTGGGGGGAAGAGTATTATTTGATTCAATTTGTTTATAGATATAGAGTTAATTAGGTTGTATACTTCACCTTGTGTGAGTTTTGGTAGTTTTTGTCTTTAAAGGAATTGGTCAATTTCATCTTAAGTTGTACAATTTCTGCATGTAGAGTTGTTTGTTTTCCTTTGTTAGACAGCTTTTGATGTCTACAGGATCTGTAGTGATATATCTCCTGTTTCATTCCTAATAATTGGTAA